GTGTGTGTGTGTGTGTGTGTGTGTGTGTGTGTGTGTGTGTGTGTGTGTGTGTAGCAGAGCTTTGAGGAGGTGGTTCATACAAGGAGCCAGTAAAAATGGAACTTTGTGACCTTTAAAAGAAATTTGCAAAAAAACAGCATTAGAAATGAAAGGAACTCTACAGAGAAGCAGAGTGCTATAGTGGATAGAGAATCAGCCTCAAAACCCAGCAGATCTTTAAGCCCTGATGCTGACCCATTTTCGCTGTGTGACCCTGGGAAAGTCACTTAACCTTCACACTGCTCCAGGCAGCGCTCTAAGACTAAGTTGCAGAGAAGGTGCCCACCTCTCTTTGTGGAGGGAATTTCCTCCCCTGAGAGTTCCCTCCGTCAGTTAAATCACAGATCCAGTCCTTGCTTTCCCTGCCTAAGATGGGGAGGTAGCATGGGACAGAGAAAGGACATTGGATCGGGAGTCCAAAGACTTGGGACTTAATTTCGGCATTGCTACTTACAACCTGAATGACTGTACAAGTTAATTACATTATCCAAGCTTTGTTTCCCGTTTTTTAAGTAGAAAGTTGGATTAGGTGACCTCTCACTTGCAACGCCCTCAGCATTTCTGCACCCTAGGACAGAGCTCTGATTGCCCTGCCCTGGTTATGCCTCTGTAGAGACTTAGGATTCCCTGGCAGTTCAGCACTTTCTAGAGTTAGGCTTTCTTGGCCCAACACTGAATACTGTATTTTTAAAATATTTGGACTTCCAAACAGAATAGTAACTGGGCTCACTAGAGTTCGATCTGCTAGAAATGAGTATTCTGCTTAGTCCAATATTTTGTTCACATGATAGTTAGAATATAAAATGTCAGTGAATTAGATAATACTCTGCTGAAGTGATACCTCGATACCCTGATGGATCCATGATGGTTATCAGTGTAGGTCTTCCATCGGTGGGTTGGACTGGGGACACTTTGCATTAGACCAAAGGCAGCTAGATGGCACAGTGGACCTGGAGTCAGGAAGACATGAGTCCAGATTTGTCCTCACCTATTATTTGGGTGACCCTGAGCAAATTACTCAACTGCTGCCTGCCTCAGTTTCCCCAACTGTAAAATGAGGACAGTAGCACCTACCTCCCAGAGTTGTTGTGAGGGTCAAATGAGATATTTGTAAAGCACTACCTTAAAGTGTTATATAAACGTGAACTATTATTATTATTACAAATAACTAGATTGTTATTGATCCAGACAGTTCACCCAATCACAGATTTAAAACTGGAAGGGAACTTAGAGACCTAATCTAGTCCAATTGCTTCATTTTATAGATGAGGAAAATGAGTCCTGGAGTAGTGAAGTCATGCTCATGGTCACATAGCCACTCAGTGACAGAGATGGGCTTGAACTCAGGACTTTTAAGTTTCTATTGGGAGTTTTAAAAAAGGTACAAAATGCTTGGTTTTTATGTGAAATAATTTGTGAGCAGTTCCCCTCATCCCTCTCCTCACCCAGGGAGGACTTCTGAAGACTGAATGTTAGAGGAACAAGCAGTCAGAATGGTACGCTCTCGTTGCTGAGACAAAGCACCAGCGTCTAGCACCGGCAGCAGAGAGTGTACTCCCTCAGGCAACTCTGACGGACCTTGGGCCCCAAGGGATGCAAAGACCGCCCTTCAATATTTACTGCTGCTTAGTAAAGCTTTTAGCCTCGCGTTGTCACTGGACCAGACTGCTAAAAAGCCTCTGAAATGTTGAGTGTTTTTGTTCTAATTGCTTCCAAATGCCCAAGGATTATCTACAAGGATCTCCCCCCCCCTTTTTTTCTGGTGTTCCTCTTTAATAATAAAAACTGCCATTTTAGGCCCTTCATAGTGACCAAAGCATTTTACATTCATTATCCCAATTGAGCCTCACAACCCTGTGAGTTAAATACTTTATTCCCATTGTACAGATGAGGAAACCGAGGCTCAGAGAGTTTATGTCCTTCCCAAAGAAAGGGTTTGAACCTAGGTATTCCTGACTTAGAGTCTTGGCATTCCTGGCTAAAAGTCACTCTTAGCTTGCACACTAGGTCATCTCAGTTTTTAGCTGCTCTTGGGAGTGAGGGTTAAGAGGGAACAGATTGGATATGGGGAACTCCTGGGGAGGAAATTCCCCACTGACGAAGGCGGCTGCCTGCCTCCGACTTGGCCTTAGCTCCTCAGAGTCACTCGGCCAGCTTGAGTCAGACAAGACTGGAACCAAGGACTTCCTGACACTGAGGCCGGCTCCCTCTACCCACCGCTCTGCACTGCCGCATTTTTATGGTTCGGTTACTCCATGTTTGGACTTCATTTACACATGCCTGCCCAGAATCCCGGTATTGAAGTTCTTATGCAGCTTATGATGACATCAACCAAGGTTCTCTGCAGTTGGGTTCTGCCTTGCTGGATGGGCCCAGGAGCCCCTGGGTTGGTTTGGATTATGTGTGTGCGTGTGTATATATGTTGGGGTGTGTGTGTGTGTGTGTGTGTGTGTGTGTGTATGTATGTGTGTGTGCCGAATGCAGGAATTAAAATATATGCCTTGCTCTCTTTTTCCATTTCATTTTTATAAAAATATTTCGTAAAATAATGCACAGAAGGGAAAAAAATAGGGCAGCTTTGCAAATTTTACTAGCTGGTTTATATGTATACATATTAATATATAGATCCAGATATACATATATAGCGTTGTATACATATAGGTTAGATATGTGTATACATACTAATATATAGATACAGATATAGCTATATAGAGATGTATACGTATAGGTATAGATATGGGCATACATATTAATATATAGATACAGATATAGACATATAGAGATGCATGCATGGATATAGATATGTTTATACATATTAATATCGAGGTACACAATATATAGATGACACATAGGTGCTTATTTTAACTTAATAAATGTATAGTATTGTATATATACACATACATACACATACCCATACACACATACACATTCACATACAGAGTTTCCTCAAAACCTTAGTGTAGTTTAAGCTTTAGTAACTCTAAAACTGCTATAAGACGGTTCAGGTGCCCTGTATATACTTGACTCCACTTAAAGGAAGCTGTGTTCTTCTTTGCTTATTGGAATGTTTGTGTCTATTGATAATTGCTCGATTGCTACCTTGGTTTTTGAGGCTGTGGGTCTTCCTCCTTTGTCCCATGGTATGCCCCCCACTATAATCTGCTTCACCACACACCCTTGTATCTGTGCCGTGATGGAACAGTGGTGAGGGGGATGGGGCGGCCAATGATATTTGAAATATCAAAACACCAAACCTCACTTTGTCTTTCCTGTTTCAAGCTCTGAACTCTTGGGAGAAATGAGCCCCGAAGTGAGGGGCAGGTCTTCTCGATGGCCCGGGATCCTTCTGTTTCATGACTTAAATTTACTTTTTCCTTCCATTAGACACCCCTCCCTCCCTCCCCTGCCTCTTGATTGCTTCAGGTTTCCTGATTTGTCTCTTCTGTTTTGAATCACAGGTGCACACGTTCCGAGGACCGCACTGGTGTGAATACTGTGCCAACTTCATGTGGGGACTCATCGCCCAGGGGGTCAGGTGCTCAGGTAGTTCAGACCTCAGATTGTCTTGTTCTAACTCCATGAAGCAAAGATACCTGATAAACATGTAAATAACAAAGCTAAGTGACGGGAGGGAGCTTCTCCCAGATTGTCCACCCACCCACCCAAAGGCTCCTTACGTTACGGCACATCTCAGCCCCTCAGTAGGGATATTGCTTGAGGTGTGCTCAAGGGCAAGAGAGGAAGCATTTTGTTGACTTGATTTCTCTTTTCACTGAATAAATATGAGGTTTGTAACTCATCCTTCTTTCTTCCCATAATGAGCAGGAGCTTTGAAAAGTCCATGGTGTGCCTGAACGAATCAAGGACACACCTGTTTCCTTAAACCGTAGTCTTTCTTTTCCTTTCTCACCCCCTCACTCCCTACAAAAAAACTGGACTTAAAAAATAATGGCCCTGCTCTGTTCTTTCTGCCATCAGATTGGTAATGGAACTGAATTCTGTGTTTTATTCTTGGTAACTGAGGGTCTAAGAGCACCATGAAAATACGTGTATTTTTCCTGTTAATGAGGCAGTGTAGCATAGTGGTCAGAGAGCATCACCTCAGAGGCAGGAGGACCCGGGTTCAAATCCCACACTGATACCTTTGATCTGTTTGTAAGATCCTGGATGAGTCCTCTAACATCTTGGTACTCCAGGGAAACTCTCTTAAGCTTTAAGTTACAAAGAAGGTGCCAATAGGCTTCAGGAGAGGGAGTTTTCTCACCAGGAGTTCCCTTGGCCAATGAACTCACAAATTTGAATTTGAAAAATCTTTGTGGGTGGTTGTAGCAGAACAATCTTTGTTCTGCCCTGTGGGGCCCAAATTGACGTGTGTCCATAGGACCCTCTCCTTAGCAGAGGAGGCACAGCTTTCTCCAGGATAAACATATGTGTTTTTAATAAATATATTTCAACAATTATGTCGTTAAATCACATTGCCCAATAGAGATTGCTTGACCTTGCATGTCATTCTTTCAGGCACAGGGATCACTGATAAATGAAGAATAGATGAAAGAAAACTATCACTTGGCCCTCATCTCCCCTTATTGATGTACATATATATATAATATTTATGTAGAATATGGTATATATGTAGTATATATAGAATATAGTGAATATATATTATATATAGAATATAGCATGTGCATATATGTATGTGTGTGTGTGTGTGTGTGTGTGTGTGTGTGTGTGTATATAAACTTGGGCACTTCTAGAGGGCTTTGCATTCATACAGCACATGGAACTTTATTGCTTCCCATGAGTGCAATATTTTGTCTACTTCATGTAAATCCTTCTCCTTTTAAAAAACATCAATATTTGAGCTTCTGTAGATAAATAAGGGAAAAGTTTGTGGGAAAGCCAGGAAACAGTAAAGGGAGTCACCCAATAACAGCAAACCACATTTTGCCAAACAATCCCATCTTATCCCAGGAGAGCTTCTTTTTGAATGGCCCAAAACCAACCAACATGCTTTGGGCCCAGTCAGTCAAATTCACTGTCACCAAGTAAATCTTTTCTTTAGCCAGATGGCATGGATGATTCTTTGAGTTTTCTCCACCTGTATATAAGATATCTATCTGTCTCTCTATCTCTCTATCTATCTATCTACCTATATCTATCAATAGATATAGATAGATAGATATAGATAGAGAGATAGATAGAGAGATAGAGAGACAGATAGATAGATAGATAGATAGATAGATAGAGAGATAGATAGATAGATAGACAGACAGATAGATAGATAGATAGAGAGACAGATAGATAGATAGACAGACAGACAGACAGACAGACAGACAGACAGATAGATAGATAGATAGATAGATAGATAGATAGATAGATATAGGGGCGATCTAGTTTGGAGACTTATTCCTTGGGTGGAAAGGAGAGAACCAAGGCAGTAAATTAATACTTTTTTACTAATTAGTTTATTTATTTTTAGTTTTCAACATTCACTTCCTTAAGATTTTGAGTTCTAAATTTTTTCCACTTCCCTTGCCTTCCCCCTTCCCCCTCCCCCCTCCCCAAGATGGTGTGCAATCTGATATAGGCTCTACATGTACATTCATATTAAATATATTTTCACATTAGTCATGTTGTAAAGAAGAATTAGAACCAATGGGAGGAATCACGAGAAAGAGGAAACAAAATAAAACAAAAAAAAAGAGAGAGAGAGAGAGAGAAAGCAGAGTGTGCTTCGATCTGCATTCAGTCTCCATAGTTCTTTCTCTGGATGTGGATAGCATTTTCCATCATGAGTCTATTAGAATTATCTTAAATCACTGTGTTGCTGAGAAGAGCTAAGTTGGTCATTGCACAGTGTTGCTGTTACTGTATACAATGTTCTCCTGGTTCTGCTTACTTTATTCAGCATCAGTTCATATAAATCCAGGTTTTTCTGAAACCATCTTGCTCATCATTTCTTATAACACAGTAGCATTCCATTACATTCATATACCACAACTTGTTCAGCCATTCCCCAATTGATGGGCATCCCCTCAATTTCCAATTCTTGGCCACCACAAAAAGAGCTACTATAAATATTTTTGTACTTATGGGTCCTTTTCCCATTTTTATGATCTCTTTGGGATACCGATGTATGCACAATTTTGTAGCCCTTTAGGCATAGTTCCAAAATGCTCTCCAGAATGGTTGGATCAGTTGCACCAACAATGCAAGTAAATTAAAAATTGAGAGTAGCTAAGCTACTTTAAAACACAGAAGTGTGCTCATTAACACACTGCCGTGCTTCTGCCTACCCAAAAACAAAGAGAGCTCACATATGGAATCACATCCGATCCTTGCTATGACCCCATGAGGTCACTTAAGACATGGAATCCCAGAATCTCAGAATCTCGCAGTCGGAAGGGACTTCAGGAACCATCTCCCATTGGATCATAGGTTTGGAGCTGGAAAGGGACATAAAGGTCATTTAGTCCAACCCTATCACTTAGAGAGGGGGAACCCAAAGCCCAGAGAAGCTATATGATTTGCCCAGTGTCACTTGGGGAGTAGGGAAGAGAGTTAGAATGTGAGCTCAGAGACTCTTACTCAAAATCCAAAGTCCTGCCTGAGAAAGACTCTACCATAACACTGATCGAAGGTCATCTAATCTCTGTGCCAAGACCTCCAGTGAGCTCACTACCTCCCCAGGCAGCCCATCCCATTTTGGAGCAGCTCTCAGTGTTAGGAAGCCAGGCTTTTTTTCCTCTGATATCAAGCCAAAATTTGCCTCTTTGCAACTCTCGTCCTAGCCCACTTGCTACACCTATTGTCTTCCTACTATGTGAACTGCCGGGAGGTCCCAACCTCTTTGTAACTATAACCAAAGAGAGGCCCATTCTCAGACAATAAAAGTAAATAAATATAACAGCTGACATTTACGTCAGGCTTTAACAATGGCTGAGCTATTTATACCAATTATCTCATTTGATCCTCATGATGACACTGGAAGGTAAGCGCCATTTTCATCCCCCAATCTTATAGATGAGGAAACTGAGGCAAAAGGAGATTAAGCGACTTGTCCAGAGTCACACAGCTAGCAAGTATGAGAAGCAAGATTTGAACCTAGCTCTTCCTGACTCCAAGTTTACCCCTCTCTCCATGACACCAAGCTGTCTTTCATGAGCTCAGTGCTGCAGACATTATTAACCCCATTTAAAAGATGAGGGAACAGGCCCAAAGTGGTGGAGGGTATTGGATGCAGGATTCAAACCCAGAATTCTCCTGGTTCTAAGTCTGATGCTCTTATAACTACACCACACTTCCCATCACACATCTTAAACTTCCTAGTAATCAGAGCATTCCCAAAGTGGACGGGACTCCCTCTGCAAACACCGGGTTTTCCCTTAATTGTATATTTGTAAACCAGGACTTATTTACTTTTTTTTTTTTTTTAAGAATAGAACACTTGGGCATTTGATTGAAGCTATGGACCTCTTTTCTGAATCATGTTTTTAAATGCATAAAATAAAATATAAAGGACTACAAAAAAAACCAATTATATTGAAGTACATTTATAAAAAGACTTTTAAAAACAAATTTATATAGCCCAAGTTAAGAAGCCCCGCTTTACTGAAGACAGGATGGCTACTTAGCCAAGATCATGTTAAGGGCATTCTTGGTTTGGGCTTGGTGACCACTGAGATTCTCTGAGTCTCCAGAGGAATGAAATTAGAAAGCCTCGTTAAACAGGGAGATGCTTTTGTTAACTTGGATTAAGTAGGTTCTTGCCCCGATCGGCCTGATTCTCATTGGCTGAAAATATCCATTAGTGGATGCCACCTGCTAAGAGGGTTTTCATGGCTTCAGCGAACTCCAATGCCCCCTTTCAGCTGAGGATTTTGATAGGCTCTATAAATAATTACTCTAATTATTCTATTACATGGCGCTGCAATGCAGAGAGCCCTGTGGTGCCCTGGCTAGAGGCCATGTCTTCATTATTACTAATTTTACAGGTGGCAAAATAAAGCCTGTATTGTGGGGGGAATGGAGGTCCCCTGACTAAGCCCTTGAAGGGCCTAGAAACAGTGGAGAGAAAGCTGAGGGAGCGAGAGAACTGGCTTTGTGACACCCTTCCCAGGGACCTCAGGAAGCCCACGCTAAAAGCTCAGCCCATTCTGGGTAGAATTGTACTGGTAGTTCACAGGATCCCAGAACTGAAAGGGACCTCAGAAGCCATTCAGTTCAACCTCCTTATTTTACAGATGAGGAAACTGAGGCCCATGGAGGTTCAGTGACTTGCCCAAGGTCACACAGGTAGTAAGTTTCAAAGGTGAGTTTTTAACCTGTGTCCTCTGACTCAAATTTAGGGTCCTCTCCACTCTGCCACTGCCTCCCCAATCAAGGGACCTGAGAGGTCATCCAGTCCATCCCCCTGCCGGGGCGCTGGCCACCTCTCAAAGGTTCTCAACAACTACTTTGCTCATCTCTGGCCCAGGCTAGATCAAAGGGCAGAGGGAGGAAAGCAGAGTGAAGCTGTTCACACCACCCATCAGCACCCCCTTATGAATCACCGGCAGCCTAGCTACATAGAACACAAGCCCCATGAGGGCAGACACTCTCATACTTTTGTCTTTGTGGCTCCAGCATCTGGCATAGTCCCTAGTGTATATTAATAATTATACAATAAATGATTAATTAACCACTCATAAATGATTGATTGAGTGATAGCTTTAGGAAACACTGCTGAACCATCTCGAAGACTTCTTTTGATACTCAGGATTTCAGTTATCTAGAGTGGTATGTAATAGAAAGATCGGTGAACTTGGAGGTAATCTGGCTTAAGTGCCAGTTTCATTAATGACTAGCTTGGTGCTTCAGGCAAGACATCTATGCTCTTTGGGCCTCGGTTTCCTCATTTCTAAAAAAATGGAAGACCTGTTTATTCTGGAACCTGAATGAGATCATGTACATGAAAGGACTTTGTGACTAGAAAGTGCCATGTTTGAAAGTAAGTTCTTATACCATTACTACTATTAATAATGATCATTGGTTCATAAATAGGTTAATTGCATTTTCTTGAAGAAAAGTGGAGTCAAGGAAATAATTTCATAAGGACTTAATTAATAGAGCAGTCTATGAGCAAATTAGTCTAAGCACTATTCTGGCATGTTGAGAATATGAGTAAAAAATGATTAACTTCATTGTAGCTTTTCCTCTAAGGTTACCTGGCTACAAAGATACACAATATGCATCCTTGGTATGGCGAGGTGTAAGAATGTAAACAATTCCCTAGCAAGGACCTTAAATTCATACATCATGGTAGCAGTCGGGAAAAGTTGTTTCTCCCACCACACCAAATAAAATTATTCATCAATAAATGAGGCTCCTACTTTCATTCATAGCAACCATCATTTAGAGGGGCCGCATGTAGAGGTAGCCAGAAATTAACCTATGTGCTCAAGATGATGGAATGTTGTATTTAGGTTTTTCCTCCTTCAGGGGTCAGGGTAAAGGGTGAAAGTGGTTCTGCATTCATATTTCCTTGGCAGTAAGCTCCCTGATTCCACAGTAGCAACCCCCTGACTTACCAGAGAGTGATTCTGGATAATCGATCAATCAAAAAGCATCTATTAAGCCCCTACTGTGTCCTGGGCATTGTTGATATAGTAGATAGAGCATTGGACTTGGGGTGTGCTGGGCTGACTGTAAGATCTGCCATGTTCCCGAGCTCTGCTACTTGGACATTAAGAGCTGACTTGGAGCCCTCCACCCACCCAGGCCTTTTGTCAGGCCATTGCCTACTTTCCCCTTTCTACATCTCTTGGATCGTTCAGAGAAAACTGATCTAGGGGGCTAAATGTTCAGGGATAAGTAGACCCAGACCCTTGGGCTATGGTACTTTGTGCATGAATGCCTACTAGCTGCATGGTTTGGGACAGATCTCTCTTCCTCTCTCTAAGTTTCAGCTTTGTCACCTGCAAAATGGGGGTGTTGGCTTGGGAAGGCAGCTTGGTACATCGGAAAGGGTGCCCAGACCCAGAGTTTGAGGACTTGAGCTCAGATCCTGGTTCTGTCACTTACAAAATTCATGACCTTGGGCAAGTGACTTATAAACTCTTTAGGACTCAGTTTTCTCATCTGTAAAATGAGAGGTGCTAAACTAACAGCCTCCAAGGTTTCTTCTGCTGCAAATCTACAAGCCAGTGATCTCGGATTATCTCTAATAGTCTCTTCCAGATTTAATTATAGTCAATAAGCATGTTATTGAGCATATTAAGCAAATACATTTATTAAGGATAGAGTAGTCTATTTGGGGGGTTGTGGGGCAGGGAACAACACTGTGTGTTTACAGTTTGGGGGTGGGGATCAGGAGAGACTTCTGGGTGGCAGCTTTGAAGGGGACTCAGGATTCCATGCTCTTATCTATGGGTTCACCCAGGCTCATTTCCAGAGCCATTAGAATGAGGTATGCCTGACACAGTGGGCTGGAGTCATAACAGATAGGTCAGAAATGCTGGTCAGCACCATGAGACAATCGGGGGAGGCACTAAGATTTTCACACTGCTAACTATAGGACCATTCACAATCACCGTGAGCATCTTGACCCTTCAGACCTGCCCGTGCACATGCAACAGAGAACAAATTAGCCATCAGGAACTCAGGGCAGACTTCAAGAAGCGATTCAAGAACTAATGAGATCCTGCCCTTTTTTTCAGATTGTGGCCTGAATGTCCACAAGCAATGCTCCAAGCACGTTCCGAATGACTGTCAGCCAGACCTCAAGCGCATCAAGAAAGTGTACTGCTGTGATCTCACCACCCTGGTGAAGGCCCACAACACCCAGAGGCCCATGGTGGTGGACATGTGCATTCGGGAGATCGAGGGCAGAGGTTTGGGAAGAAATAGCTGTTGCTGGGGTTTAGACTTTGAGAGGTTCCAGATTGAGGGGCCCTGCCCAGCATTGTTGAAGGAATCCTCCTGAAGTTTGCTCTGCTGACAGAGTCAACATATCCCCCCATCCCCTTACAGGTGTTATAATAGACAGAATACTGTGGGGTGGGGTCAAGAACACCAGGACTCAAATCCTTCCTCAATACTTACCTGCAGGATGATCGTGGGCAAGGCACTTGCTGCCTCCCTATGCCCCAGCCAAAGATTCCCCTAGGACTTAGTGGAGGGAGTTCCCACACTGGAAATTCCCACATGGTGACAAATCACCAATATTCCTGTCCTTTCTTGTTTAAGGTTATTGTTTTGCAGGGAGGGGGCTGAAATTCAGCCCCCTGTGTTTTCCTTTTTCAGGTTTAAAGTCAGAAGGCCTGTACAGAGTCTCAGGGTTCACTGAACACATCGAAGACGTCAAGATGGCTTTTGACAGAGGTATGCTTGAGAATTCCCTCCTGCCTCGTTTGGTCATCAGACACCCTCCTGGTGAACAGGTTTGACAATGAATTTCATTTGGAGGCAGTTTCTTTGGTTCCATTCATGAGTACATTGCTGAAGGGGAAGAACCAGTGTGCCCAGCCAGGCAGAACTCCCACACTGACCCACACAGATTGCCAGCTTTCCTAGAAGCCATGATCATCGGGTTGCTCCGAGAGGGGAGCTCCAACGTAGTGTATGAGCTCAGGGAAAGCAAGGGAGAGTAAGGAGCACTTAGAGCCCTGGAGTGGGAGTCAGAAAGATCCGAGTTCAAATCTTCCTTCACACTTAATAGTGGTATGTCTTTTGAGTAAGTCACATGACCTTATGTGTTTGTGTTTCCTCATCTGTAAAATGAAAGGTCACCTAAGCACACTTCCAGCTCATCCTGAGAATCCAGGCTTTTCTTTTGATGTCTGTTCACTTCTGACCCTCTTCTTACAATCTTTTTTCTTTTATTCTCTCATTTTACTCTGAAGAGCTCAAAGTGGCAGGTGAGGATGTGAGGGTGCTAAAAGGGGCAAGGATTTTTTGTCCCTTCCCTCCATGAGTTTCATATAGGAACTTCTAGCGTGGAAAGCCCTTGTACCTATGCAAATCAACAACTCCTCCGTAACTTAGTTTTAAAGACTTGTGCATGGTCATATGGCCATTAGGTGTTAGAAGCAGGACTTGAACACATTTTTCTGACTCCAAGGCAGGATCTATACCATACCTACGTCTCCTCAAGTTGAAGAGAAGCAGGAAATGGGGTGAAATAATGAGTTGTAGTGTTTGACTTGCTGGGCACATTTTTCCTCTAGTAGCTATTTCTGCTGACCTTTGTTTTCTTAAGTTCCCAAGTTTAAAAGAGATGCTGGCATTTTGTCCGTGACACCCACATCTTTTGTCAAAAGGGAATGAATCTTTGCTACTTATGTTATACTGGCCAATAGCCATGTCTGTTAATGGACTCCCACTGTGCCCTGGAGCCCTCAGGACTCCCCCAACTGTGATCTGCATCTCCTTGTCTTTAGATTCCAGAATCAATTTCAACATCTTACACTACCTTCTTACCTCCCAGAGTCAACTTAATTCAGTGAATGTTTAATACCTGCCTGTTATGTGTAAAATCATTATTGTGGGTACTGGGGACACAATGACAAAAGAAAAGGAGAAGAGAAGAAAAGAAAAAAAAATTCCTGTTCTCAGGGAGCTTATGTTCTACTGGTAGAATATTCTTGGCATTCTAGGACTGAAAGGTGGCTAGTCAAAACCTGAGATGGGAACATTTATCATTGGGTTTTTCCCTCCTTCCACTTTCTCCTTTCTCTCCCTCTTTCTTTTCCATTTCCCTCCTTATCTCCCCTTTTTCCTTTTCCTCTCCCATCTTTCTTTTCCCTCTCCTTTCCTTTCCTTTCTTTTTTTCCCTCCCTTCTCTTCCTTTTGCTCTTCTTCTTCCTTTCCCTCACTATTCTCCCTTCTTTTCCTTCCTTTACTTTTCCCTTCTCTTGCTTTCTTCTAGTTTTATTTCTGCTTTGAAGCACCCAAGGAGAAATGAAGACACTAGTTAGTAACGGATCTCTTGGCTCTCTCCTAGATGGTGAGAAGGCAGATATATCTGCCCACATATATCCAGACATCAACATCATCACAGGGGCACTGAAGCTGTACTTTCGAGACTTGCCAATTCCTGTCATCACCTATGATACCTATGCCAAGTTTATAGACGCAGCTAGTAAGTATGAAGCCCTCTGCGAGTAGCAGCCTGGTTTTGTTTAAATAAAGAGCTTCTGAGTACAAGAAAATGAAAACTTTGGATTATAAACGATTGTCTCTGCCACGCTTTCCATTTAGTTACCAATGCCATCAGCTCTTGATGACCAGCACCAGTCATAATAAGGGTTGGCATTTCTATGGCCTCAAAGCTTGGCAAAATCCTTCACAGTGATGGTCACAGTGGAGCCCCACAAGGACCCTGTGAGGAAGTTACTAGAAGTGATGTTATCATCGCTGTTTTATAGAAGATGGAATGGAGGCTCAGAGCAGTTCAATTACCTTCCCAGGTCACACCGCTATTGAGTATCTGAGGTGGAATTTGAACCCATGTCTACCTGACTTCAAATCTAGCACCTTCCCCATGCTTCCTCTAGGACTGTGCATTTAATGAAATATTGGGACACTGAGCCTTCCAGTAGACTTGGCCGTGACCGGGCAACAGGAATTTCTATCCCTGGGAATTGGTCCTTCCCTGTCTCTTCCTCATACTCAAGTCTAATGCCAGTGTGCCTGTATCATGCTCATGTTATATGGGCTGTTGGAAGCCCTGGATGGGAAGGATTCAGCATTCACAGTCACCCTACCTACCTATGTTCCCAGCATCACTACAGGCACCGAGGGGGCACCAAGTGCTAGATCTGGAGTCAGCAAGACCTTCTTCAGATCATCCTCAGACATTTACTAGCTGTGTGACCCTGGGCAAGTCATTTCACCCTGTTTGCCTCAATTTCCACATCTGTAAAATGAGCTGGAGAAGGAAATGGCAATGCACTCCAGGATCTTTGCCAAGAAAACCCCAAATGGGGTCACAGAGAGTTGGACGTGACTAAATAATAACAAGTATCATACTGCCTGTCACATATATAAACATTAGCTATTGTTGCTATTCCTGGAAAGAGTGCTGGATTTGAAGTCATAAGATCCGGGTTCACATCCTAGTTCTGCTATTTACTACCCCCATGACCTTGAGAAAGTCAAGTCACTTCAGTGGGTTTCAGTCCCTCCAAATGAAATTGGACTAGGCGTTTTCTAATCTCCCTTCCACCTCTAAACCCTATTTTTCTGCCTCGAGATTTCACCTGCCTCCCAATCAGCCTAAGGACCGCTGCTTTATTCAGGGAACTGCCGCCTCTTCTAATAGCTTTTAGCCTTAGTGACAGGTACCCTTCCTCCCCAAAGCTTGTTGGAATTACATCTGCTCCACTGAACAGCAAAAATCAAATTGTTGCCTATTCCTGTTTTGAAACTTGAGCCCCCATCGAGTCTCCCATGAAATTCAATTACATCCAATCCAATAAACCTTAGCATCCTTCAAAGTACAGCTGAGATGCCACCAACTATAAGACCTTTCCCTTTCTCCTCTGTTGTTAGTATTATCTCCCTCTTGAAAGTATTTGGTATTTACTTCTCTGTATACAGGTTGTATTCTCTCCTCCCTCCCCCTTCTCAGTACAACTTAAGCTACCTGAGGGCAGGGACTGGTAATATACAGTTTTCCATCAATGGTGTGAGGAAGGTCTTTTCCTCCCAATAGATGATCCTGAATGTTTTTTCTAGAAACATTCAGGTTTTAGTTTCTCCTGGCTATACCCTCATCCAGCTGTTATCTTCAGCAAGTCTGTGCTTGGTATTAAAGGGTTCCCAAGGCTGTTATTTACCTTTCTATTAATGGGTTCTCCAGCTTCAGGTCTTCCCTACCTTGCTGCTCAGACAAGCACCTGATGGTCAATAGAGAGATGCCAGGCCCCTTTACCACCACAAGGAAGAGCTGGGGCACATTTTCCAGTAGAAATAGGCACCTGCCCTACCTCTTTGGGATACTTTGAGGACCAGTCAATTTTAGATGAAAACTTTTCTTGTGTCATTTCTCCTTGCATAGCTATTGGATTTTATTTTAAAACAGAAACCTTTAGTTTCTTAAAAACAGCAACCACACTAGCAGAGTATCTTCACCTTCTTCATACAGCCTGGTCCTGTGTGCTGACATTCATGTCGTCTGATTTCACAGAAATCTCCAATCCAGATGAGAGGTTAGAGGCCGTCCATGAAGTCTTAATGTTGCTGCCCCCTGCCCATTATGAGACGCTCAGATACCTAATGATTCATCTCAAGAAGTAAGTGGATGCCTCACAAACCAAATGGCTTCTGCCATGTTTGGGCAAAGGGAGGGTTGGCATTGGTTACACACTAGAGCATTTTTACACAACTCAAAAGACAGCTTCAAGTAAAACAGCCCCCCTGGACTTTTCCCAGCTCATCCACGTACCTGCCTCCTTTTTCTGGACCATGCCCCTTTTTTACCCAGTTCCCTCCTTCCTTCTCACAGCGGCCCTTCAGCCTCTCCTGTCTTCCTCCTCAGCCCTACCTTCCACTCTTCTGTCCTGGTGCAGGTCTGCACCCTGTCATGGCTCGTCTCTGTCCTGTACTTTTCTCTTGCCTCTCTGTGCCTCTGGTGTGTGAAAGTGGGAGCCCTGGAATTGGAGGCCGGTTACAGTGGGCATTTCATTTCAAACTTATCTCCCTCCATTCCAATCTCTTAGTATGTGTCTCTGTGGGGAGGTTAGGACATGAGTTCCTTATGCTATTGGAGAAAGGCAATATTATTGTTGAGGCTATAAAATTGATCCAATATAGGGTTTGAGACCCAAAATGATGACACCGAGATAGCAAACCCTACTGCTTCATGTGCCTTGTGAATCATGGAAATGGAGTGATGCCATGGTGCAGGGGGTAGCACAGTGGACTGGGAGTGAGGAAGACCTTGGCTCAAATCCCATATCAGAACCTTGGACCCCTCTAGGCTTTCCTCAGCTGTAAAATGCGAGACTGGGAGTCAACAGCCCCCAAGGTGGCTTTCAAGCTCAAAATCTTTGATCCATGATCTTCTAATTCAGGGTGGTCAGTGATAGAGAAAGTGACCTTGGAACCTTAGCCCTTCCCGCTCCCAAAAGGAAATGCCTATTTCTGATGCCAGATAGTTAATCTGTTTCATTTTAAGTCCCAAGGCATGCTTCATCTACCTAATTAGTAGATTGCAATTTGTCAGCTCCATCTTTTGGTGAGTCCGGTCTTTGATCAAGGCCTCATAGTCAGGACTAATAGTGATGTGTTCATAACCATGTAAGCTTCTCAAACTCCTTTTTTTCTTAGGGGGGAGGGGAGGAGAGGGATGGATAATGTTCACTATAGGTACATGATTGAATATCGCTAGATTAGATGAACATGTTCAGTTACAGCACCTGAATCAATGAAGTGCTGGACCCTAAAAGGCAACATGGAATAATGGGATCAGCAATGGATTTGGACTCAAAGGACCTGGGTTCAAATCCTAATTTTGTCCCTTGCTCCCTGTGTGACTTTGGACAAGTCAGTTCTCAGCACTCAGGGCCTGTGTCTCTTCATCTGGGACTCTCAGTGGCTCCCAAGGCCTCTTCCAGCTCTCAGTGTGGAATCCCATAATCCTGGGCTCCCTTCACTACCCTCTACTTTTGATCTGGGAGGGTCTCCTTTCCCTAAATTTCTCTGATTTCTTTTTTTTTGATTGAAAGATCATCGTGTTCAGTCAACTCCTGAGAGGGATGATGGACATAGGCATAGAAAATGAAATACGGAAGAATGTTGGACTTCGCGGGCTCTAGAGGCCAAGGGCGGGGGTGGGAGGGGGCAGGATGGTTATCACCTGTTTTTACTGTCTATCCTTTCACACCCACTCCCACTGATTTAAAACAAAACAAAGCAAAACTTGAGTATGTTCAGATTACATCGTGTTCTCCTGTGGAAAGTCTGCCTTGCTCCAAATGTAGGATCCAGAGGAAAAAGTGCAGCATACTGGCCTGGGAGTTAGAGTGTCCCTGATGGGGGAAAGGAGGGGACAATAATCATTAGTCATTAAGGTGGGATCAGGAAAGGCCTCACGTAGGAGGGAGAAATTAGCCAAACCTCCATGAGTACCATCTTTTAGATAAACCAGAAACTTGGAGGCTCAATTGACTCCCTCTTGGGCCAAAGATAAATCACTTAAATTTCTTTTTCCTTGATTTTCCCATCTGTAAAATGGACTTTATGCTTTTTCTGTTTGTCTTGATAAGTCACTTAAATTTTTTCCTTGCTTTTCCTACTTATAAAATGGGCTCTATGCTTTTCCTGTTTGTCTTCAGACAGTTGAAGGAAGGAGGATCCATTAATATGAGCTCCTTAAGAGCAGAGATTGTTTTGTATTTTTTGACTTTACATTCCCCAGCACCTAACCTAGTGCCAGGTACACAGTAAGTGCTCAATAAATGCTTACTGAATGAAACAGACTGTCTCAAAATAAAGAGTGCTTCAGCTCTAGAGTACTGAAAAGTTAGGACTTGCCCAGGATCAAAAGTTGGCTGGACTTGAACCCAGGTCTTCCTGGCTTCAAGGCCAAGTTGGCACCATGCTGCCTTTGTTTTTGCTCTATAGGAAGGTAATGGATGAGTGCCTGTGTCTTTCAGAGTCACGCTGAATGAGAAAGAAAACTTCATGAACGCCGAGAACCTGGGGATCGTGTTTGGCCCCACCTTGATGAGGCCCCCGGAGGAAAGCACCCTCGCTACCCTCAACGACATGCGGTACCAGAAGCTCATTGTGCAGATTTTAATAGAGAATGAAGACGTTTTGTTCTAAGCCAACGGGGAAGTGGGCTGTGTGGCCTCAACCCTGCCTGAGCTGATAAGGCGAGAGGAATGAAAACATTTCTTATTTTGCCTGACTTTATTTTTTAAACAAAGAAAAAAAGTTGCTTGCGTCTCTTAGACATGCACCTCTCTCCTAGGAAGAATGAGGGGGAGGGAAAGAAAACCCTTTGCCTTGTGTCTCTAGCCTGATCACTTATGTATATTTGTTCTGAGGAAGAGCACTGGATTATTGTTTCTTTAACTTATTACAAGAACGCAGACCTTTTCAACAGTGGTGTTTTCGGGCATGCAAGTGGCCCCTTACTCGGGGGCAGCTTCTCAAGACATTTCCCACCTGCTAAAAAGACAATTCTATAAGTCAAATGTTGGACAAAACCTATATTATAAAATTTATTTTTTACGTTAATGAATGGTGTTTTATTTTAGCAGAAGAGAACTCAATGCAGTGCATTTATTATCACCCTTCAGTAGGCCCTACCCTGAGTTCTTGCAGGATCCCATGAAAATCTGGACCACTCCTACAGTGTTCTCTTGGCATAGCTCCAGTGTAACCCAAGCTTCCCATGGCAATGCCAAATGTCATGCACAGTCCAGCTTTTGGAGTTTCCGAGTGAGCGCCAACATCCTGTTGTCTAGAACAAACATGGCAGTTTCGGCCTCCTGTCATAAAAGCAGTGCCAGTTTCCAAAGGCTGAGTTTGAAGAATGGCCTTCCATTCCCCCATTGGATCTTCCAGTGCGGGTCACTTAGAAGGAAAGGGGATAGGGGGCTGGGGGGATGCTGGTTATAGTTTGGCCCTAGGCATAAGTGAACGTTTGGCTTCTTTCTTCTTCTTGGGAGAGCTTTGAAAATTAACTTGTTTGAGGCAAAGGTAACTCTTTGTCCCATCGTCGTACACGTGAAGGTTAAGCTGCAGAAAAAAGGTAATACTTCTGTTGAATGTGTTTTCCATTCCAACCCAACAGCATTTATTTATCGATAAAGTGCCTATGATGTACAAGGCACCGTGCTGGGCCTGGGGATAAAGACAAAAGCCCATCTTTACTTGCAAGGGCCTTCCCTCTGCACTTATTACAAGGAAGTCCACGGGCTGCTTTCTTTAGGGGGAGTTGGTAAATTTGGGTCTCCCCCAGAATCTGTTATTCCTCTCAGAAACTAATCTGTAGTCGATTATTTAATCTTATCCTATGACAGGTTCTGTTTTCTCTGCATTGATCATCTGTTTTCTTAATATGCCTCTTTGCACCTGAATTCCCACCCAGACAAAATCTTACAAATATACTCAGATCACCGCCCTCCCAGATTGTTATTGGTTTAGGGTTTTTTTTTTATCTTTTCCTCTGATTATCTGAATCATGTGATTTAACCACTCACTGTCTCTGGATGATCTCAAAAAGCAAAATTGACTGTTGATATTACATTGTGTGCAAAGTGAAGCAGAGAGAGGTGGAAGAGGAGGAAGAGGAGGAGGAAGAAGAGTGTCTTCTTGGTCCGCTAAAAGAGGGAGGAGTCACAAAAAGGGCTCTGGGCCCGGGCAGCACGATTGCACAGTGTGTGTGTGGGTGTGTGTGGGTGTGGGTGGGTGGGTGTTTGGGGGTGGTGCTTCCACTCTCGGGCTTCCCCATGATTGTCCAGCTTTGTCATAGTGTGTGTAATTCTTGATACTGTCATAAAAAATTATCTGGAAATGGTTTTATTTTGTGACGTGAACCTGCTTTGTAATTTATGAGAGTGTAAATGGAAGGAAGAAACATTAAATGTATTGAGAGTTCTTGTGCCTGTCGAGTTAGTGAATATAAAACATGCGTGTTCGGCTCTTAAGGAAAGTGTTGGCCAAATGCTTTGGGCTCAGAAAGATGGCGGTTGTGGGCAGTCCTAAAGCCGTGAAGAAAAAACAGCTGTTCATACATGGCCTGGGGTTCTCCTGGCTTGGAAGTTAGGTCTAAAATTCTAACACTTAACCCTGTCTTCACCTAGCCTTCGTCCTCTAAACCCTGCACCCTGCAGATGGAAGGAATCACCCTCTTCTGTGTGGGACACTCCCCTTCTCCACCCCCTCAAGGAGGTCCTTGGGGAAGACAGGAAGTGTGTGTGTGTGTGTGTGTGTGTGTGTGTGTATGTCTATGTGTGTATGTATATAAGCATGTATCTGTGTGTGTGTATATATGTGTATGTATGTATGTATGTTGCTGTGTTTTGAAGTCCAGGTTGACTTTCCCTTCCCACACAACATCTGCCTCCTTGAGTTTTGTGGCATAATTCAATTCAACAAGCATTTCTCTTGCACTTTCAGGTTTTCAGAGTGTGTTACAAATAACTCATCTGATCTTCACAACAGCCCTGGAAGGTGCTATTATTATCACCTTTACAGGTGAGGAAACTGAGGCAGACAATGATTAAACAACTTGCCTCAGGTCACATAGCTAGTGAGTATCTGCGGTCAAATTTGAATTCAGGTCCACTATGCAAATATTATGTGTAAGACATTGTGCCATGAAAATAAAGATGAATCAAAAAAATAAATAAATAAAGATGAGCAAATATTCTACTGGGGTGCCACCCCATGTACCCAGATAAGTACATACAAAGTAATTTCAGGGGATGAGAAGCACTAACAAGTTGGGGGGGTGGCACTAAGGTCAGACCTCAAATAGAAGATGACACCTGCTTTGGAGGCAGTTAAGGATTCTAAGGTGGAGGTGAGAAAGGAGAATATGGGGGGTTTGGGGCACAGCCTATGCAAAGGCATGGAGATGGGAGACAGAATGTCTTGAACCAGGAACAGCAAAGTTATTTGGGTTGAAAGGTAGAATGTGTTAAGAGGAGTCAAGTTAAGTCCATTTAGTCTACCCAGAGGCTTTTTTCCCTCCAGTTTTGCTTACTCTCAGATTCTCAGTTATGTTCTTGACAATTCCTGCTGCTAGCTGAATGACCTTGGAACAAACTAAGCATTACTGGGCATTTACAAAGGTGAGGCCAACCTTTGATCACCCATTGTTCCCATCCATTATCATGAGATGGCTTATTTGTCTAAGATGCCTTTTAGGTCATATCTGAACAAACTCAGATTGGGTATTTCTAATAGGGAAATTCACTCTTCAACACTTTTATCAATGACTGGAGGAAGATTTAACCGATCCAATTTGTCCTACACAAATCTGAGAGGGATCCCAATGCTGGGGTCTAACTGAAGCACAAAAGACTCAGAGGCTGAAATTGAATAGAACCAATGCTAGCCCTCTGCTTCCTTCCAAAAATCAACCTTATGATTCCAAGATGGCAGAAGCACTATCTGACAAGGGTCAGGGGCTGTGTGAGGAGGAGCATTGTTCCCAGAAGGAGCAAACTGAAGGTCCCACCATACTTGGATATAGTCATGCCGCATCTGGGGTCTTGTATTAGTTTCTCCCCAGCCTTAGAGGATACAACTAGGAGTAACTGGAGAGAGTTGGAGCAAGGTAGGTTTAGGCTCCATGTCAGGAAAATTGTCATAATCATTCAAGCTATCTGAACATGGAATGGGCTTCAAGGGGTAATGGGCTCCTTCTCTCCAAAGGTCTTCAGACCAAGGTTGGATGACCCAACTCACTAGGGTTCTGGTAGAGGGAAGACATGATCATGGAGGGAATGAACTCAAAGGCCTCTTCCAACATGCTGTTGGTTGCTTCCTAGCTGGCTTCTTGCCCCTTCGCCCTACAACCATTCCTCAAAGCCAGGGTGCAGCACAACCAGACCGTTCCAGGGATCTCTCTGTCATTCTCTCCTAACTTCAGAAGGAGCCTCAGCTGGTGCCCTTTAACTTTCCTAGGACATTCAGACACATTGGAGAAGCTGTCCTGAATGAGGTTCTTCAATCATTCAGCTTGACCACACCTGAATCTTTAGCACAGACCACCCAGCCAGCATATGCTCCACCTGTCTGTTACCACAGGCTGGTCACACCTCATTACAACGTTTCAGGAACCATGATCCCAAGCATCTTGGGACCAATGCAACATGGTCAACAGATACAGCTCCAATTTCCTGACCACAGCCAGACAGCCTATAAGGATAATTATAAACATAGCAAGAAGACGACAGTCAAATGCCAGTTAGGGTAGAATTTTAGGATTGGGAACTAGATGGGACCTGGAAAGAACTAGCTCTCCCCTCCCCTCACAGAGGAAGAAATTGAGGTCCAAGAGGTAAAGTGACTTGCCCAAAGTCACACAGACAGTAGGCAGCAGAGCTAAGAACTGTTTCCAAAATAAAATGTCCTCAGTTGTCACAACTTAGATCTAGAGGCTCAAGCGTTGCAATTGTTAGCTGGGTCAAACAAAAAGAAAGTAATGGAAGAGAGAAGAATGAAAAAGAAAAGTTTTCTTGTGTTTGTTTTTTCATAGCCCATATATGATGTCTTTCTCTTCCTCCATAATCCCATTTACAGCTGTGCTTGGAAAAGGGCACATCTCCCAGGTGTCGGAGTTTTGGCTAGATACATGGTCAGCATTTTGTCCTAATCACTGAAGAAGCCTGGTCAAGATAAATAGAATCTTTGTCTCTCTTCCCCCCTCAAAATATCAAAAATAATTATTTTATTTATTATAATTATGTTTGCTTATAATTTCATTTATTTAATCATATATTATGTTCATTTATCATAATTATATATTTGCTTATTCATTCATTAAATTAATTATGTATTAATTGTGATTATATATTTATAATAATTATTTATTTAATAAATAATTGTTGAGAGGCAGTGTTACACAATGGATAAGCAGTTGCCCTCATGGTTTTGAAATTCCCCAGTTCAAATCCTGCCCTGACACCTACTTAGTTGTAGGATTCTGGGCTCTAACCAAGTCTCTAAGACTTTAGGTGGCAAAGAAGGTGCCAACTTGCAGTGGTAGAATGAGTTGCCTCCCCTCACAGTTGGGGGTCAGTGAAATCACAAATTCAATTCCTATCCCCATGGAGATCTTACTGGGAAATAGGAAACCAATGATTCATTCAACAAGCATTTGTGAACACCCACTATGTATAAGGCATATGAAGACAAAACAGAAACAATCCCTGCCTTTAGGGAGCTTAGTGGGAGTATACAAAACACACACAGAGAAGTCAGTATGAGATATGTACAAAATAATAACAAAGTCATTCCAGCCAATGAGGGACGGGGGGAACACGGATCACAGAAATGCCTCAAGGATTCAGAGAAGTAAATAGGAAATACTTAGAAAGTACTTTGGGGGAGAGCAGCCCAAACACTAACCAAGGGATGATCAGGAAAGTCTTCTTGTAGGAGGTGGCACCAGAGGTGAGAGAGTCCTAATGTAGGAGATCTATGCTAAGAGGAAAAGGTGGGAAGGAAGCCCATTACCCCTGCCCTCAGAGAGCTTGCAATCTAATAGAGAGATCAAAAGTACACATTTAACTAAAATGCAGTAAGTTCCATTAGAAAGGTGCCAAATAAAGGGCTGTGGGGGGTGGGGGGAGGATGTTGAGAAGTGCCCTATACCCCTGCCCTAGCCAGCCAGATGTCATCAGAGAAGACTGTCACCCACTAGAATGTAAGCTCCTTGAGGGCAGGGACTGGCTATGTCTTTCTCTGTACCCCCAGTGCTTAGAACAGTGCCTGACACACAGTAGGTGCTGTGTCGACCAAAGGTAGCCTTACTAGGAACGGAATTTCACCAACCAGAGATGGGGGATGGGGAACTAAGAGAGAAGCCCATGAGCAAAAATCTGGAAGCAGAAAAGCCTCCTATCAGCACCACTTCTGGTGTTTGCCCGGTTATGACTCATCCAGTAATCCTTTCTGCCCTAGGTGGGTCAGAGTGTTCTTGGGAGTGCCTTTCACTAGGATCTGGGGTATTATTTTTTAGCATTTATAGAGCCCTTTTTCACTTTGAAGGATTTGATGACAATACAATACCTTTGTTTGCTCCTGACTGCCTCAGAGTAAATAAGGGAGCCTAACAGTGTCCTGGTACTTCAGAAGGCTTTATCCACATTAAACTCTCAAGTCCATGTCAGGTAATCATGGGACCCTCTTCAACTCAAAAGAAGACATCTGTAAAAGTATAGACAAGAGGCAAAAACTTGCACTTCCGTAAACAACTTGCCTTGTGAAAGGTAATCTTCCCAAGCTGGAGGTATCAGAGATGGGCACCCTAGCTCCTGAACCCTCAGCCTTTTCCTGATTGAGGAATCAATCTTTGCCTAAAGCCTTCTGGTCTCAGACTTCAGGAGCAAGGGGAAGAATTTTTAGAGACCAATTTAAACTTGCTATTAGGAGAAATTCTCCAACAACTCAAACTACCCCAAAAGGGGGGCAGGTGGCACGTGGTAGGTGTTGGCCCTGCCCCCATCCCCAAGTTTTTTAAGAAAAGGTGGAATGAGCATTTGTAAGGTAGGATAATGATTCGAGTTCAGGCTAGGATGGGACTGATGGTCTCTGAGGTCCCTCCCAACCCTCAGGGCAGATCCTGACAGATTTTAAGGGGTCCAAGAACTTGGAAAGGGAAAAAAAATCATCTTTATTTTTATTAACCTCTAACAGTTAGGGTCTAAACGAAATTTATCATCTTTTATTTATAATTTTTTTCTTCTGAGAAGCGGTTCATAGATTGGTTTCCCTAGAGAAACCAGGGGCCAGGACCCAAAAAAGGTGCAGAAAACCCTGCCTGTTGTCCGCAGGGAGCTGAAAGGTCAACGCCGCGCTAAGGGCGCAAGCTGTGGACCAAGGGGAGTACTCCCTGGCCCATCGCCCTCCCCCACCCCGATTCTCTCAAGCACGAGACCCGGGGCTGGCGGGCAGCCAAAGGCCGAGGAGAGAGAAGGTCCGAGATCCAGCAGCAGATCAAAGGGAGGCCGGGCGGCAGTAGAGAAGGCTGGATTAGAGGCAGCAGACCTGTGCTCCGCATCTCCTTGGGCAGTACCCTCGCTTCTCTCTCGGGCCTTCAGGTTCCTCCTCTCTAAAATGAAGGGGGTCATACAAGATGACCACTAAGGCCCCTTCCGGCTCCAAAGCCATGATCATGGGGGAGACCCCATGCAGCGGGTCACTGCCCTAAGCAGGGCGGGTCAGAGCTCTTCCTAAGTATCCGAGAATCCATTTGCCCACCAGCCGCCTCATTAACTTACTCAGTACAATCCCAGGATCCTAGGACCCCGGAGCTGGAAGGGGTCCCAGAGGCAGGCTAGTGCAAGCCTTTCACTTTACCCTTGAGGAGACTGAGTCTCAGAGAGATCTTAGCATCACAGGCCGAGAGCCGGCAGAGGCCTCTGAGACCGTGTAATCCAGCCCCCACGGGCCGGGGCTGGGAGCCCGAGGTCGAGGGGGTTCGACGACAAGCTCCGAGACCGCGTAATGCAGCCCCCACGGGCAGGGGCTGGGAGCCGGAGGTCGAGGGGGTTCGACGACAAGCTCCGAGACCGCGTAATGCAGCCCCCACGGGCCGGGGCTGGGAGCCCGAGGTCTAGGGGGTTCGACGACAAGCTCCGAGACCGTGTAATGCAGCCCCCACGGGCCGGGGCTGGGAGCCCGAGGTCGAGAGGGTTCGA